TGCTAAAAAGATGATGTGATTATGACATCATTAATTTTTACGCAATTACAGATCATATAAATAAGGGGAGTTGTGATGTGGGGAGCAAAAAAGTCCTAAAATCTATAAAAAAAATATTGGAAGAGAAATAAACAATGAATAAATATGTATATTAAGTGAATTATAAAAGTCATTTAAAGAGAATACAAATAAATAAAAATGTAAATCAAGCAAATTATAAAAGTGATATAATAAGAATAAAAAATTATTAACAATAATTTATTTATAAATATTTAATAATTTAAACATTATTTATTATTGTTATATATCAAGCGAATTATAAAAGTCTTATAATAAGAATAAAAAATTATTGTTAATAAATATGTATATCAAGCGAATTATAAAAATCATAAAACGAGAATTTATCCATTCATTCATTTTCTTTTCAGGTTATCTCCATTATTAATCACGCCGGCAACTTATCCAGCACATGTTTTACACAGCGGATGCCCTTCAAGCTGCAACTCAACACTGGGAAACACCCATACACACTCATTCACACACATACATACACTACAGACAATTTAACTTACCCAATTCCCCTGTACCACAGGTGTTTGGACTGTGGGGGAAACCGGAGCACCCGAAGGAAACCCACACGAATACAGGGAGAACATGCAAACTCCACACAGAAATGCCAACCGAGCCAGCCGAGGCTCAAACCAGCAACCTTCTTGCTGTGAGGCGATCGTGCTACCCACTGTGCCATCGTGTCGTCTATAAGGAGAATAAAATAAATGAATATGTATATTAGGTGAATTATAAATGTCATAAGGAGAATTAATAAATTATTAATCAACAAGTACACAAAGTAAATTATAAAAAGCATATCACGAGAATAAAAACAAGTAAATATGCATATTAAGTGAATTAGAAGTCATATAAGAAGATTAAAAGTGATCATAAATAAATATGTACATTAAGTGAAATAACAAGAATTAATAAATTGATAATAAATATATCTATTGAATTATAAAAATTATTTATGGAGAATAAAAAACAATAAATATGTATATTAAGTAAATTATAAAAATCATTTAAGGAAAATATTTAAAAAAAATGTATATTGAGTGAGAATAAATATTAATAAATAAATATGTATATTATATGAATTATAAAAATTATTTAAGGAGAATAAATAAATTAATAAATAAACATGTATATTATATGAATTATAAAAAACATTTAAGGAGAATAAATAAATTAATAAATAAATAGGTATATTATATGAATTATAAAAAACATTTAAGGAGAATAAATGAATGAATGAATAAATAAATAAATATGTCTATTAAGTGAATTGTAAAAATTATTGATGGAGAATAAAAATTTGAAATGTATTTTAAATGAATTATAAAAAAATAATTTAGGAGAATAAATAAATAAATATGTATATTAAGTTTTTAATAAAAAAATATTTTAGGGGAATAATTACATAAATAAACAAATATGTATATTAAGTGAATTATAAAAATCATATAAGGTGAATAAAAATTGTTATAATAAATATGTATATTAAGTAAATCATACAAATTATACGGAGAATAAAAAAAAAATTAGCATTTATACAAAAGTAATATATAAATGAAATATGTCCATATGCATATTTATTAAAAATATATTAACAAAGAATAGTTTTTACAAATCAATTGCCAATATTCAACAAATTTATACTGTAAAATGTTAAATATGCATTTACAGTTGGTGAGATCTTAACTCACACTAAAAAAATATTTAGCTTCTTGTTCAAATTACTTATTTATAATGAGCTGAATCAACACAATTGAGTTTTTTTGGAGGGGATAACTTAATTGTTTATGTTCAGTCAACTTAAATGTATAAAAACAATTAAGTTAAATTAAATGATTTGTGTGGTACCCTGCATTTTTACATAAATAACACATAAATTTACTGCATACAAAAAAAATGGTGTTACTGTTGAAAACTGTGTTGTTTTTTTAATGTGTTCATGATATCCACTTTCAGCCGATCACTGAAAACAACATGAAAACAATACGCTTCTCCTTTTTCCGATTTACACCAATCCCGTCAATCAGTCTAATCATCCTCAGCCTACATAGCGTGTTTGAGAAATACGGCTAGTTACCCGTTTGTTTAACCGGTTTGTTGACAGATGCTTATGTTAAAGCGGATTAATAGTAAAATGGTCTCGTGCGGGACTGATTAATGCCAGTGGAGCTTGATTTGAGAGAGGGGATCTGCCTGTAATAAGGTGAGCTGGTGTTGGGTCACAGAGGAGAGCATATAACCATGTCCAGATTAATTAAGGAGGTATTAGGCGGTCGGGATTGTGGTGGATTCTGAAGCGATTTAGGCAACATGCATCTGAAAACGTCTCCTCGGAGCGGCATGTGATAGCGATTTCCATGGCCTAAGCGCTTCTCTCACATCAAATCCCAATTAAAGGCGGTACGACAACACCAGCGGCCTTTGGTCCATTTACCTTCTGACTGCAGAGTCTGTTTATCACACACACAGATCCTGAGCGCAGACGCAAATACACACCAATGTGGACAGAGAAAAAGCCTACAATAACAGAAAGAGAGTTACGGTTAGTGTTCAGTACAATAAAAAGCAGCTAAAACTGTTTGATTTAAGTGTGAAAGTGTTTTAAAAAATACTTTTAGCCTGTTTTAGCATGGACAGAAATTTATTAATAGAATTGATAGATGGATGAATGGATGGATGAATAGAGACAGGCATTTGGTGGATGGAATGATAGATGGAGATGAATAGATATATAGAATAATGGATGGATAGATGGATGGATAAAACAATAAATATAGAATGCTGGATGCATAGACAGATGGATGGAAAGATAGATAGATGGAAGAATAAATCGAAAGATATACAGAATGATGGATGGAATGATGGATGGATGGATGGATTGATAGATAGATAAAACGATATATAGAATGCTGGATGGATAGAATGATATTTAAAATGATGGATGGATCTATGATAGATGGAACAATAGATGGATTGATTTATAAAAGGATGGATGGATAAAACTATATATAGAATGCTGGATGAATAGAACGGTGGATGGATGGATGGATAGATGGATGGAATGATAGATAGATGAAACAATATGGAACAACAGATGGATAGATATACAGAAAAATGGATGGAACAATAGATGGATAGATTTATAAAAGGATAGATGGATAAAACTATATATAGTATGCTGGATGGATAGAATGGTGGATGGATGGATGGATAGATGGCTGGAATGATAGATAGATGAAACAATATGTAACAATAGATGGATAAATATATAGAAAAATGGATGGAGGGGTTGAATGATAGATGAAACAATATGTAACAATAGATGGAAAGATATATGGAAAAATGGATGGAGGGGTTGAATGATAGATGAAAACATCGATAGACAGATGGTTGAATGGAGAGAATAATATATGGAATGCTGGATGGATAAAACGATATACCCTGTATAGAATGCTGGATGGATAGAATTATATGGATGGATGGAAGAACAGATAGAGAGGGTATATTATAGACAGACAGACAGACGAACGGAAGGACAGATGAATGAACAGATGGATCGACAGACAGACAGACAGGGATGGATGGATGGATGGATGGATGGATGGATGGGTGAATGGGTGGGTGGATGGATGGATGGATGGATGGATGGATGGATGGATGGATGGATGGATGGATGGATAGATAGATAGATAGATAGATAGATAGATAGATAGATAGATAGATAGATAGATAGATAGATAGAAACATGGACAGACAGATGGATGAATGGATGGATAGAATGATATATAGGATGATAGAAAGATGGATGGACGGATGAATGGACGGACGGACGGACAGACAGATAGATAGAAGATTAAATTATTTCAAGCATAACAAATTTCATGCAAACAAAAAATATCGTCACTCATAAAATTTTGCAAATAAATAGAAAGGTTGTTCGAGTAAAAGTTAATTACCAATTGTAAAACCAGTTTTTCCACAAAAATCATGGTTTAACTGGTTAGTGCAGCACAACCATTGTGCATTTGTGGTTACAGTGGTTAAACTACAACAGTTTTTGGTTTCATTTGTCATTAGGGTTTCTGATACCTGTACTTTGATGTGAAGTAATTTGTAGTAAATCATGTAGTGCTTTTGAACTATACTATAGTACAATACTTGATTTAATAAATTGTGTAAATTCTACAGTTGTTATAGGCCTAATCCTAATCCGAATATTAACAAATGACCAATAATGTAGTTTTCCACAACTGTTATCCTACAATACACCACAGTTTTGTGTAGTAAAGAAGTATACTACAGCATTCATCAGTTCACTATAGTAAACACTACACTGTGCATTCATTACAAAAGTGCAGTAAATATGATTATAGTGCATTTTAACATAGTTCTAAAAACCCAACATGATTTACTACAAATTACTATAGTTCTTTTTATATGGACATAAAGAGAAATTTAACTATATGAAATTTAAAACATGTTATGAAATAATCATCATATGTTAATATTTGAACACTAACATAAATATGGAGGCGCAGAGCAGTTTTCACTGACTGGGTCGTTTCCATAATAGGTCCATTTATCCAGCACAATGAAATGAAGTCTGTGTCAGTCAGTCAGTTAGTGAGTCTAACAATCTGATCATCCAGTCGGTGTCCTCCGTGAACAGCAAACCCCCTGCTAAGAGGCTAATGACCGAGGCGCATAATCCCCCTCAAAACAAGCACAAAGATGCTAATTGAATCTCTCTATAAATAGGCTTGACTTCTGCTGCTCCTCCTTTACTAGAAGATGTCACATTAAGAAGACCTACAGAGAATTCGTCCTACCGAGAATCCAGTCGCTCCGTTATATAACCGGTCAGCTATATAGTCATTCATATAGTCGTTCAGGCCGTTGGTTGTCCGTTACTCACACTGGAATGCCGTTGGTATAAACGGGCGCGCGAGTTTTCAAATTAGTCAGACAAACCTACAGCCATGTTTCCTCTGCCGATGTTCACACCTGAGCAGGTGGCCCGAGTGTGCGAGAATCTCGAGGAAACAGGAGATATCGAGCGCCTGGGCCGGTTTCTCTGGTCTCTGCCCGCCGCCGTGCCCGGTTCCGCCGGAGAGTTGCTCAACCGTCATGAGTCGGTGATGCGCGCGCGGGCTCTCGTCGCGTTCCATGGCGGGAATTTCGAGGCGCTCTATCAGATTCTGCAGAGTCACCGGTTTACCCGCGAATCTCACGCTAAACTGCAGGACCTGTGGCTGGACGCGCATTACCGGGAGGCGGAGCGCCTGAGGGGCAGACCACTCGGCCCGGTAGAGAAGTACCGCATCCGTAAGAAGTTCCCCCTGCCGAGGACAATCTGGGATGGAGAGCAGAAGACACACTGCTTTAAGGTGAGACCAAAAAGTACTGAAACTACACTTGAAGTAGTGCAACTTACGGAAAAAGATTCAAATCATGTCATTTGGGGCTGGGGATTGTTTAAAAATAGTAATATCTACATGTACAATGTAAAAAAAATTTTTTAGTTGAATCAAATTAACTTTTCTAGTCATTTCAACTTGAATCAATCAAACTGTCAAAAAAAAAAATTAAAGAGATAGTTCAGCCAAAAATTAAAAGTTCACTATAATTCACTAATTCAGAGTTTCTTTCTTACCACAAAATAATGTATTTTGAAGAACGTTAGAAACCGGTTACCATTGACTTCCATATTGGAAAAACAAATCGAGAAGTCAATGGTTACAGGGATATCAAAATATTGTCTTTTTCTGTTCAACAGAAGAAAGTCAAAGCAGATTTGTAAAAAGTAAAGGGTGAGTAGATGACGAAAATTAGGTTGAATGAACTGTCCCTTCAAATGTTTTGGTTGAATAAAATTACCTATCAACTTGCATCAATTAAACTGACAAGAAGTTGAAGAGATAGTTCAGCCAAAAATGAAAAGTTCACTATAATTCACTATTTCAGAGTTTCTTTATTCTTAACACAAAATAATGTATTTTGAAGAACGTTAGAACCCGGCTACCATTGACTTCCATATAGGAAAATGTAAGTCAGTGATAACAGTCAGGGATATCAAAATATTGTCTTTTTCTGTTAAAAAAAAAAAGCAGATTTGTAAAGGGTGAGTAAATGACTGAATTTTGGTTGAACTGTTCCTTTAAATGTTTTAGTTGAATCAAATGATTTCTAGTCATTTCAACTTGCATCAATCAAACTGACCAAAAACATTAAAGGCATAGTTCACCCAAAACTCAAAAGTTGACCATAATGCACTCAATACTTTCAGAGTTTCTTTCTTAACACAAAATAATGTATTTTGAAGAATGTTAGAAACCGGCTACCATTGACTTCCATATTGGAAAAACGAATCGTATAGAAGTCAATGGTTACAGGGTTATCAAAATATTGTCTTTTTCTGTTCAGCAGAAGAAAGTCAAAGCAGATTTGTGAAAAGTAAACGTTGAGTAGATGACGAAACTTAGGTTAAACTGTCCCTTCAAATGTTTTGTTGAATCAAATGAACTTTTTAACTTACATCAATCAAACTGACAAAAAATTTAAGAGGTAGTTCACCCAAATATGAAAAGTTCTCTATAATTCACTATTTCAGAGATTCTTTATTCTTAACACAAAATAATGTATCTTAAATATTGTTAGAAATCGGCTACCATTGACTTCCATATAGGAAAAAACAAATCCTAGAAGTCAGTGGTTAAAGGGATATCAAAATGTCTTTGTTTCTGTTTAAGATAAGAAAGTCAAAGCAGGTTTGTAAAAAGTAAAGGGTGCGTACTGTGAATGATGAAATTTAGGCGAAATGTTCCTGGTTTGTAAATGTTTTAGTTCAATCAAATTCACTATTATAGTCATCTTAACATCAATTAAACTGACTAAAAACTTAAGTTCAACTATAACTGTGATTAGTTAGTTGTCTTTAACTGTACTTTAGCTGAAGCCCAATTAACTCCTTAAAATAACTGTGGTAAAATTTGGACAAACCACAATGTCGGAGTAAATTTTTAAAATTCTTTTTATAGCCCACTTTTCGTAATGTGTAAATGCAGCATTATCTAATGTGCATTTTAGACACTAGTAAGTACTTTTAAGGTGTTATTATGCATCATCTGGTCCAAATCAGTGGGAAACACTTTATTGTAAGGCAGTGTTTCTCAACTACATTCCTGCAGGACCACCAGCTCTGCACATTTTTCATGTCTCCTTAACCAAACACAGCTGATTCAGATCCTCAGCTCATTAGCAGAGAGTGAAAAACCTGTAATGGGTGTAACAAGGGAGACATCCTAAACATGCAGTGTTGGTGGTCCTCCAAGAAGGTGGTTGAGAAACACTGTTATAAGGTATCCTTATTCGTTCTATGTACTAACTATAGTTGTTACAATCAATTCTGCATAATTGCACGCAGCTTAACTTAACCTGCATTCTATCCCTAACCATATAGTAAGTACATGTAGGTAATTAACATTTCTTAGTAGTTAATTAAATTGTACACTGAATACAAGGACACCTAATAATATTGTGTGATCTAAAAGTGCACATTTTAAAACGTACTCCAGCGACAACTTTTAACTTTTTGCCCCTAAAGTTACTAAAGGAAGGAGAGTCAAGTTTAACTTATTTATTTCCACATATTTGTGACATTTAAAATGCTTAAAAACTGTCATGAAAATAACAACAACAAAAAATGGATATTGATGAGTTTCCCAGAGATGGGTTGCAGCTGGAAGGGCATTCGCTGCGTAAAACATATGCTGCATAAGATGGCGATGCATTCCGCTGTGGCAACCCCAGATTAATAAAGGGACTAATCCGAAAAGAAAATGAATGAATGAATGAGTTAGGAGTCGTATATTTCAATGTATCACCGCACACACATAAATACACAAGTTCTCTTTGATTTTCCTGCAATTTCTGCTCCTGTTTCAGTATTTCAGTGGGATATTTAGATCTCATTAGCACAAAATATATTTGTAGACATAACACATTTCAAGCACCGACTCATGAAACTTTAGCACGGGTTTGGAGAACACAACAAACATTAATTCAGTCATAATACGGCCAAATTTGATTAACAAAATAAACTATATATATTAATCTAACACAGTTTTAGCTCTAAAATATTTTTACCACATCAAAAATAGTGCTCTCATACATAACATGTTAAATAAAAGGTTAATGATAATAAAAATTAATAAAATTATAACATGCATTTATGGCATACTTATAAGGCAAAAATGTGAAACTGTCATATTAAGTCATATTTTGAGATGAGAAGTAAATCATGTCGAAATATCACAGCTTTAAAGTCACATATTATACGTTAATATTTGTAATTTAATAAAAAAAAATTAAAGTAATTTATACTAGTTTTTTGAACCATATACAACATTGAAGCGCTTCTTGCTTAAAGAAATAGTTCATCAAAAGAAAAAAACAAATTCTGTCTTTATTTAATCACTGATTTATTTAATCCAAACTTGTTTCTTCTTTCTATTGAACACAAAAGATGAAATAGAGAAAAATGCTGGGGAAAAGCATCCATTGATTTCTATAGTATTATTATATTTTCCTACTATGGAAGTAAATGACTACTGGTTTACAACATTCTTCAAAATATCTTCTTTTGTGTTCAATAGCTTAAAGACACTCAATATACAATTCCTCTTTATTTCTATAGTGCTTTTTATGATGTAGATTGTGTCAAAGCAGTGAATAAAAGTAAATTTGCGGGTCAAAATGTAATTTAATGCGATCTTAGGCAGTTTAGGGGATTGAAGAGTGGACCGACAACATAAAAAAAGTCAAATCAAAGGGACAGTACACCCAAACGCACACTATCTGTCTTTATTTACTCACCCTTCACTTGCTCAAAACATTGAGTTTGAACACAAAAGAAGATATTTTGAAGAATGCTGGTAAATGACTACCGGTTTCCAACATTCCTCAAAATATCTTCTTTTGTGTTCAACATCATAAAGAAACTCAATATACAATTCATCTTCGTTTCTATGGTGCTTTTTATGATGTAGATCGTGTCAAAGCAGGGAATTAATGTAAATGTGCGGGTCCAAAATGTAATTTAATGCGATCTTAATCAGTTTAGTGGATTGTAGAGTGGTTGGACAATGTATAAAAAAGTCAAATTAAAGGGACAGTACACCCAAACCTGAAATCTCTGTCATTATTTACTCACCCTTCACTTGCTCAAAACATTGAGTTTGAGTTTCTTTCTTCTGTTTAACACAAAAGAAGATATTTTGAAGAATGCTGGTAAATGACGGTTTCCAACATTCTTCAAAATATCTTCTTTTGTGTTCAGCAGCATAAAGAAACTCAGTATACAATTACTGTTTATTTCTATAGTGCTTTTTACAATGTCGATTATGTCAAAGCAGGGAATAAATGTAAAACTGCGGGTCAAAAACATAATTTAATGCAATCTATATCAGTTTGGTGGATTGTAGAGTGGACTGACAACGTAAGGATATCAAATTAAAGGTTCAGTACACCCAAACGTTTTTATTTACTAACCCTTTACTTGTTTAAAACATTGAGTTTGAGTTTCCTTCTTCTGTTGAACACAAAAGAAGATATTTTGAAGAATGCTGGCAAATGATGGTTTCCAACATTCTTCAAAATATCTTCTTTTGTGTTCAACAGCATAAAGAAACTCAATATACAACTCCTCTTTATTTCTATAGTGCTTTTCACAATGTAGATTGTGTCAAAGCAGTAAATAAATGTAAAGTGTGGGTCCAAAACTTAATTTATACGATCTAAATCACAGTTTAGTGGATTGTAGAGTCGACTGACAACGTAAAAATGTCAAATTAAAAGGACAGCACACCCAAACAGGAAATCTTTGACTTTATTTACTCACTCTTCACTTGTTTAAAACACTGAGTTTGAGTTTCTTTCTTCTGTTGATCACAAAAGAAGATATTTTGAAGAATGCTGGTACATGATTGTTTCCAACATTCTTCAAAATATCTTCTTTTGTGTTCAATAGTATAATGAAACTCAATATACAATTCGTTTTTATTTCTATAGTGTTTTTTATGATGTAGATTGTGTCAAAGCAGTAAATAAATATAAATGTGGGTCAAAAATGTAATTTAATGCGATCTAAATCAGTTTTGTGGATTGTAGAGGGGTCGGATAACATAGAAAAAGTCCAATTAAAGGAACAGTCCACCCAAAAGTCTTTATTTACTCACACTTCACTTGTTCAAAACACTGAATTTGAGTTTCTTTCTTCTATTGAACACAAAAGAAGATATTTTGAAGAATGCTGGTAAATGACGGTTTCCAACATTCTTCAAAATATCTTCTTTTGTGTTCAATAAAATAAATAGACGCAATATACAAT